TGCAGGAGAGTGTGCACGAACATCCAACAACTTCAACAAGGAGACGTTCAACGCAACTTCGGTTGTCGCGGAGATCGATTCAACTGATTTTGGCCAAATTGACGATGTTTCCATATAAAGTGCAGCTTGTTCAAGAGCTAACACCCACCGATTATCAGCAGCGGCTCGATTTTGCAGTTTTTTTCCAGCAAAAAGCGGAAGAAAATCATGATTTCGTGCACAATCTGATAATGAGTGACGAAGCTCATTTGCACCTGAATGGATTCGTCAATAAGCAAAACTACCGAATATGGTCAAGAGAAAATCCTAGGGAAATCCATCAAAGGCAATTGATGCACCCTCAAAAGTGTACAGTTTGGTGTGGAATATCATCCAAAAGGATTTATGGTCCATATTTTTTTGAAAACGCACCATGTTGGAAAATTTCTTGAGGCCAGCTGTGGAAAACAACCCACGACTATGGTTTCAACAAGATGGAGCCACAGCCCACACAGCAAGGCAAACAATGGCATTGTTACAAGGCATTTTCGGCAAACGCATTATTTCAAGACGGAGCGATTTCAATTGGCCACCACGTTCCCCGGATTTAACCGCTCCCGATTTAATCCTTTGGGGATATTTAAAGGAACGTGTATACGTTAATGAACCAGAGACCACACTCCAAGTGAAGAATAATATTCGAGAAGAAATTCGAGCAATTACGCCAGAAATATTGCGCAAAGATGGAGAAAATCTTGGAAAGAGCGCAACTTTGCGAAGCTGAAAATGGACACCACCTACGTGACGGTATTTTCCACGTTCGAATCAAATAAATTTCCCATTAATGTTGTATGTTTGAAAAAGAAAAATTAATTGAATAGACACTGAAATAAAGAAGTTTTTCACTATTCAAACCCCTTCGTTTCTTTTGCGCCACCCTGTATTTGTTTTTGTGTAATGGTGTAGAAGGTGAGTATATATACCTGGGTAATACATTTTAGCACATTATTTTTCATTGGTTTTCTAGATTACCTAATAATCAATATTATCTACAATAAATCTACATCGGTGTTTATTTTTTGTCTTTTTCAATTGTAGGTAGGTAGGTATCCTGTAAATTGCAATTCGAGCATTGTCCGCGGTTTCCATTTTTGTCTCAATCCACGGGCACACGGGCACACCACGGGCAGCGTTTTTATAAAAATTCCTTAGGCAGGACCGTACTTGAATATTAGAGGTGATCATGGTCAGAGTAAATTCATGTTTGTTAAGGCGGATTGCAGAAACTGTTTTATTATTCGATCCACTCTGCACATCTATATAAAACCGGACCATCGTATATTCCTATTTATTTGTAAAACTTTACGCAAAAAAAATTTCAAATATCCAAGTCGAGTATTCAGGCATATTCATCAGAACAAAGTAGCTTTCCAAGGTGTATTCAGGTCTCTGTCCGCCAATAAATTAGCCCCAACATCTAATAAAAGAAAAAAATTGGTAGATACATTCGAACAATTAGAAACCCCACTTGATTAGCTCAAATCGTACAGAATTCCAAATTCTATGGGTATCTTTTTAACGGTGAGAGATACGAGGTCGGTTAAATGACACCAAATGTGGAGTTTGTCAAGGCCAACTATAATGTGAAAAAATATTTTGATAAAATCTATTCGTTTTTGTTTTATACGCAAAAAACAGATTTTGATCATTTTCATGTCTCCTCCGTAACTTCCTTATTTATGAAAATATTCAAATAGGAATTTCACATTCTCATGGCAGTTTTTCGAAGTGATTTCGAAAAAAATATGAAATTTATACCAACTCTTCTAGAATTTGAGATATCAGCACCAACTTTAGTTTTTCAAATGTAGGTCATAGCTTATGACTTAGTTACAAATAGCTTTTTTTTCTCTTACAGATGATGTGTCGCAGTAATAGTTTTGTGTTGATAACAACGGAGTTATCGTCATTTATACAAAAACAAAAAATTATTTGGAAGCCACCATCTTGAATTTATAAATTTTAACAAAAAAATCATGATCTCCGACCTCAGAAACCCCCACTTACCAATTTTGAATGGAATCGGACCAAATCTTGTCCGCCATCTTGGAGCAGCCATTTTTTTAATTTCAACAAAAATTCCATAACTCCGATTAACTTGAAATTTGGCAGGTGTTCATAATTTTGGTGACAATACATTATTGTCACAAAATCTGTTTTTTGCGTATAAAACAAAAACGAATAGATTTTAGCAAAATATTTTTTCACATTATAGTTGGCCTTGACAAACTCCACATTTGGTGTCATTTAACCGACCTCGTATCTCTCACCGTTAAAAAGATACCTATGGTGAGCATGGTAAGTGGGACACACTGTATGTAGTACTCTCAAAATGAAGAGCACAAATGTGAAAAATAGAAAACAGATTTATTATTATTTCACAAAATATTGAAAGGTGAAGACGATAGGCAAAATAAAAATGGAAGTAACGAAATTATCATAGATATTTTGACTTGCATTGATGATAGGAAGGGAATAAATTATTTGAGAAGTCAAATATCAAAACACCCAATTATTGAAAAAAATTATTCACCTGAACCATTTACAAAACAAGAATTAGATAACGTTAACATGGAAGTGAATGAACAATTAGTAATTTATTCAACTTCAAATAATGCAGATATTCCTTCATCTGAAAATCTGAATTTTAATAACGTCAATACATCAATTAAAACTGATAGGGATACAGTGATATCAAATCAACCATCACTAATAATTTGTTCTACCCCCATGAATCGTGATATCCACGTATCTAAGAAAACAAAATTTGATGACGCATTCATTTCGCCTACTCTTCTCGAATATAGTGACAATAATAATAGTACTACACATGTAAATAATTCTAATACACCTAATTCGCCGAAGTTCGGCCAACGTTTTGAAATAACCCCGGAAAGTTTTGATATACCAAAAACTCTTTTAAATTTGCCTGCATCAAATAATTATAATAACAAAGATTTGCTTCCAGCCAATTCAAATAACATTCAGAATTTACCAATTATTAAATTTAAAAATTACACAATATTAGAAGGAAGTTTCATAATTCCTGTCGATATAGTCCAGGAAATATATACTAATAATAAGTTGAATCAAATCCGGGAGCATGTTAACAATGTATGTAATATCATAATGAAATATCCGAAATATTTGAAAGATGGCACCATAAAAATTTATGCAAAGTGCAAAAATAATAACTATAATTGTAAAAAATTCAAAATCATAATTAAAAATCGTAAAGTTGATGTTTTGTCGACTTCTGTTGATTATTGTCATCCGTCAAGAATATCTTCATGCGTTAAAGGAGTAGAACGGTCATTAGTAGAAAAACAAATTTTGCATAAGAAACCTTCAGAATATAAAAGGAAATGCATTTTACAAGCCGATGAAGATATTATCAAATCAGGTAATCTTCAAACAATAAAGTCAGATTGTACTGTCAGGAAAATAAAATCAGAATCGATTGCACATTGGGATAGGGATAAAAATGATTTTCTAGACTTAGTCAAGATGCAGATTGATCACCATAATTATATACAGGAACTGAGCATGCCTTATAATGTCAAAATTTACAGTCAAGAGCAATTCGAAAATGAGATTAGATGAATTTAAGCCCATAATTTATTTCGATGCAACTGGTAATATAGTTAGGAAACCGTTCAAAACATCCAAGAGAGTATTTCTATATACAGCGATTCTACCTCTTCCTACGGGTAGGATGTTTCCTATATTTGAGATGATTCCAAGCACCCACTACGCGAAAACAATATTCAAAATTTTTAACGACTTCAGAACGTTCTGTGAAGAGCACAATAAGTTGTAGTTACTGATTTCAGTTTTGCCAATATTCACGCAATCGTTAAATCATGTAATAGATGTACTTTATTAGAATATATTGTAAAAACTTATAGGGTGGCTATAGGAGAAAGCACAATGTCAGATGATTTAATTTCAATTCATTCATGTCATTCATTCATCGGAACACTGCCACAACGTTATGGTGTAGTGTTAACTCACTCCTCTTTAATGTAGAAAAAACTAACGTAATGAGATTTCATCATCGGCAAAAACGTTGTTCAAATATAGATATATCTGTGCATGGTGATCCGCTGGGAAATGTTGATGAGTTAACATTCCTAGGAATCGGCATAAATGAATGTTCAACATGGAAATTCCATTGTAACAAATTGATAAAGAAACTAAATTTTCTCTGTTATATGTTTCGGAGTCTAAAAACAATACTTACAGAAGAACAGTTGTTGTTGCTCTATCATGCTCAAGTTTCCTCCCGAATCCGCTATGGTATAAATTTTTGGGGTAATTCTACTCTATCACCGGATGTTTCCATTGTAGAGAAAAGGATTATAAGAATAATAGCAGGCATACCTAGTCAACAATCTTGCCGAAATATTTTTAATAGCCTTAACATTTTAACTGTCATTGGTGTTTTTGTATTTGAATTATGTGTTTATGTATTTTTGAACAAAGAAAAATTCATTACTAATAGAAATATACATGGTATAAGTACAAGACAATGTGACAATTATCACATTCCAATGTGTAAATATGAGATTACACGTAACTCTCCCAATTACTTAAAAAAACTCAGTCATTTCAAAACGAACTTGAAGCAATTCCTTCTGGAAATGAATCCCTATACTTTAGAAGAATATTTTTCGGCAGCCTAGTCTTTTTGTTTCTGTCTCTGTAATATCTAAATATCATTTTATCTTATGTCTCTGTCTCAAACTGTCTAGTTTTGAGCCTTCAATCTGACGATTCCTATACATGTAAAAATGTCTAATGGAAAATAAACGTATTGTATTGTATTGTATTGTAGTGCGCATCTAATGAAAAATTTAACTAAAGTTATCGATTCATGCTTCACAGACAATGGTGTCAAGTCATTTTATAAAGTGGTAAATTTTGATAATTTAGATGATATTGATATGTGGTTCAAAAATATGGCAATAATTTTGAAAAACCAGTATTTGTGTAAAAATGTTGATGCAAGTTTGAGGTCGTTGTTAAGTTTAGTAGAGAAGGATAAAATCAACAGGGACACTCAGTTTGTGGAATGCAATTCAATACATAACGACATCGACATAAAATACGAATATGATGATAAACAAACAGGTTTACATAAAATGAGCACTTTTTATAAACATTTTCTCAAAATATTCATGGAAATAAGCGTACTCACAGATTCAGTAGAAGGAAACAATATATATCATAGTAAAACTGTTGTTGATATAATCCTGTTGAAATATATGCCCTTCTGTTCACTTTGGACCGGGATCATTTTGAAATACAAAATCACGTGAGTAATACATACGTTGAAAATTATTTTGGAAATCTCAAGAAGAATATTTTGTGTGGACAAAGAAATTTGAAATGTTTCAGATTTTTAAAAAAATCTAGAGAAAATGTTTTAGCCCTCTTCAAGGAATGGAAATTGAATATTCCAAAAACACGACTGACAAAGCAGCCTTCCATCAAAATTAAAGATCCTGCTAGTGAACACATAGCCGAGGAAACATGGAAAAAAAGAGGAAATGTTTTACCAACGCATTTTTCTGGAAATTATCTGAAACGCTTTGCTTCTCAAGATTCCAGAATGGAAACTGAGATAGTAAAGAATAATGTTACAGAAGAAACAATCCAAGAAAAATGTATATACTGTGGATATGGTCAGCTGGACGTAACTGCTGACTGGGTAGCTTGTGACAGCTGTAATAGATGGCTGCACTTGAACTGTGACCCATATTCAACTGATAAGACGTATGGTAATTCTATATATATTTGCGAATCTTGTAAATCTGATAGGCTCCAGTCGAAAGAAAATGATAAAAATAAATGTTTACATTGCAACCTTAGTCAGCTGGATGTAACCGCCGACTGGGTATGCTGTGATGGCTGCGATAAATGGTTACATTTGAAATGTGACCCATCTTCCTCTGACAAAACATATAGTGGTTCATACTATTGCGAATCTTGTACGGTTCATAAGCAACTGTTGCTTGAAGATACAATTAACTGTTCGAAATGTTTGTATTGTGGTCTTGGTCAACTTGACGAAACCGCAGAATGGGTATCTTGTGACAAGTGCAATGGTTGGGTGCACAAAGCTTGCGATAGAAGAACCAAAGAGCCAAACTTCAGCACTGATAGTTATCATTGCAAGAATTGCTCTATTAAGGAATTCAAAATGAAATGTCAGGAATTTTTAGTGAAATTAGAGAATGGAAGTAACTCGCATGATAGGGACGAAATTGAGGCAAATACCAGAGGTCAAAGGAAATGTGCACGATGGTTTGCAGAGCGTAAGATCAGACTAACAGCATCAAATTTTGGCAGGATTTGTAAATGTAAATCTGACAGCGGAAGAATAAAAATTGTGAAGGAATTGATCACTCAAGGAAATCGAAGGAATGTGGCAATGAAACACGGAATAAAATACGAGAAAACTGCATTAGACGAATATTTGAGTCAAAACGGTTATCAGCACATTGAAAGTGGATTAATAGTTCATAAAACTTTTCCATTTCTGGCAGGGTCTCCAGACGGCTTACTCGGTGTAGATGGAACAATAGAAATCAAATGTCCATTCAAAATAAAAAATAAACATCCAGACAACGCTTTTACCGAACTCGATTACATGTATAATGACGGAACATTGAAATTAACTAGCAAACATTACTATCAGATTCAAGGTATACTTGAAATTTCAAATAGGCCATGGTGTGATTTCGTAATATATACCTTCAAAGGACTAAAAGTTCAACGAATTTTAAGAGATCAAAAATTCTTTTATAATACAATGTTGCCAAAATTGAAGGAATTTTACTATTTTCTTTATATTCCCGCATAGACTTCGATATTGACCTAATTGGCAAAGAGTTGCGTAGATGGAGACCGTTGGGAGATTTCACTTTTCTTTCAAATGGCTTGTTCAATGATATCAAATATTAAAAAACGGTAGGAGGTAGGGACTATACAGTTGCAATATTGGACTTCTTCGAAAGATTAATACGCATTTATTTTCGAGTTCTGTTCATTTTATGCTGTTGAATAAGAGTTTTGTCTTACCTTCATATATTCTGTTTTTAAAATCTTGTGGATAGCTCTGTATGTTTCTGGAATTATGACCCCTAACGCTTGAGGAGAAATAATCGTACTGAACTTTAAATCTTCAAAACTGCGCCCTGTTGCCAAAAACCTCAAAGTAGCAATCAACGTTTCTTCTGCACTCATATAGCACATCTCATTCTGGTGTTCTGCTACATTATGAGTGACTTAACTAAATTTAATAGCATCTGGAAGGAGTCCTCTTCCATGCGAAGATAATTTTTCAAATCATTATTGCTGGAGAGTCTCAATTTCGATATAAGTGACATGTGTTATAGAATGTTTCGTTTTTGTAACCATTCTTCAACCCAAAAAGACCTTTTTTGTTTCTGATTCGAAATTATCAACAGCGAGCATATTTTTTTCCGCGAGAGGCGACCCATATTCACTATGCGCACTAAACAGACAATATACCGAAATAAATTCGACTCATATCTCAAAACGATATTATCCATCAGTTATTGAACTGATTGAATGTGTGTTGGTTTTAAATCACAAACGTCAGTCCTGACCTTCATATCACTACCATTCAAATATCTGCAAGTGAGTGGCGTGCTGAGAGATCACCTGAAGGCCGCTAACCGACAGATATAATCTCTCAGTTATTTGACCGAACTAATGTGTGGCAATATTCAATCACAACCTTCAGTCCTAGTCTGCAGATTATCGCTTCTTCGATATCCGTATGTGAGTGGCCCGCTGAGACAATTTGATCCAAGTGATCAGAACACGTCATTTCACAGGTGAGCGGCCAGTGTCGTATCATAGAAATTTCAATATCGTTTCCCCAAATTGAGATGAAAGCAATAAATATCTAATAAATTAATAAGATTAGATTTAGGCTGTCTGCAACATTCAGTGTTCTCCGGTGATGTGAGAAATATTTACAGATTTCCTCAAAATGCAGAATTGATGAGAATATGGGAGAAAAACATTGGAAAAGAAAACGATTCCAAGGAAGCTAGGATATGTTCGGATCATTTTCATATCAGTGACATAATGTTAAGTCCAGGTGGAAAGAGATTATTGAAAAGAGGAGCTATACCTGTTTTTCACCATAAGAAGGAGAGGTGAGAATTTCCTCAATGAATACCTAAGTATTGAAACGGGAATAATTTGAACCCATATCGACAGTGGATAGTCATATTATTTGTTCCAAAATCGGACATATGACACACTGTTTATGTTACATATTAATTAATTTCTGATGGTTCTGATCCAATTTATGAGTTAAAATGTAATCATAAAACCCACGAGGTTGATTATCATGAATTGCCTGGTTTATTATTCGTATTTTTTCATATTTTTTTTATACTTTAGGCCAAAATTAGATACTCTTCATCATTCTACTATATCAAAGGCAGCAACATCCACTTCTAAATCTGTAACAGCAACATCAGAAATCGACCTGGCATCATTACATGGGGGATCTTCTGTATGTCTAGAAAAAACTTATGGATATACAGAAATACCATATCAGGATGTAGGAGAACTGTCAAAAGATTTGAGGGAGAAAAAGTAAGTAACTCGAATATAAATGTTATAAACCAAATCTAGTTCTGGTTTCTGATGCAATTTTTTTTTCATTCTGGTCATTGTTCAAATTATATGTTCAAAGTCGAAGAAGAAATGTACTAGTTGATTCACCCAAATCAGATTCCACAACGATTACTGCTTCTGGCTCTTCAACTGCGACTGCATCACATTTTGATTCATCTAAATCTGATTTGACAACTAATACTGCTTGCTCTACAACAGCAACTGCATCGGAAACAGACCTAATATTATGACTTATATCTGGAGAAGAACTATCCACAACAGCAGAAACTTCATTACACATCCATGATGTGGAAAACTCGACAGCATTTTCCATTGGGAACAGAAGGAAAAGGTATGTTACATAATCACTCAAATTTAGACATGATAATTCTGATGATGAAGTTTTGCTGAGAAAAAAGGTAAATAGAATTTATCACATCTAAGTAACTCGCTTTTGTCTATTTGTAGAAAACTGAAACGTCGGCGATATTTTGGAGATTGTGAAACAGATGATATAGAAATTCCAGAAGTTGCCAGGCAGGATTGAGAAATTGCAAAAAAACTGTGGCATTGCAACGATGGAAAATTCGACGTCTTCAGCAACTTAATAGGCGACTGAAATCACGAGTAACTTGTCTGAATACTCTTATTGATCATTGAAACATTCGATAACAGAGAGTGCTGAAAATATTATTGAGGTTGGTTTTGGAATCATAAAACCCTTCAAATTTCCATCTAGATATAACAATCTAGCTAAGTACATACAACTATACAGTTTCACTTTTTAGCCTGAAAATCTATTCAAGATTTCAGAAATTAATTCTATATGATCAATATAATGCTTCAGTTATCTATAAAACTAGTCACATTTATCCTCATTGTTTACAGGCTTCTCTAGCTGGAACTGCTGGTGCTGTGATGAAGAAAGTGTTGAAAGGATCTACACACATGAAATATACACCAGAGCTACGAGCTTTTGCTCTGACTCTCAGCTTCTATTCCACGAAAGCTTATAACTATGTGAGATGAACTTTTAATAAAAGTTTATCTCATACAAGTACATTATCAAAGTGGTATAGATCTATCAATGGCACTCCAGGATTCACTCAAGAAGCCCTAGAAGCTATAAAAATGAAAGTGTCTGAACTAGCAGATAGGGGGCACAAAGATTTGTGTGATCTAGTAATGGATGAAATGGCTATTATGCACAAAACAGAATGGACTGTTAGTCAATTTGTAGGTGGAACTGACAACAATGTTAATATTGGAACTAACCTTGGAGCAGGTCAGTTGCCTAAAGCAAAAGAAGTACTAGTATTCATGCTGGTATGTGAAAACGGCCATTGGAAAATTCCAGTTGGATATTTGTTGGTCAATGGTCTCAATGGAGAAGAGAAAGCCAATGTTATGATCAAGCTACTGGTGCAATTATAACTTCGATAACCTTTGGTGGTGCACCTTCAAATTTCAGCATGGTATCTGCCTTGGGAGCAAAACTAAATGACGTTTCATCTCTCATAACTCATTTTCCGCATTCAATCACGAATCAGAACATATTCATATTTCCTGACATCTGTCATTGCCTCAAATTAGTTGGCAATTGTATAGGAGACAAACTCAACTTCGTAGATGATGAAGGCAATACAATTTCATGGTCCTACTATAAGAGACTAGCTGAATTGCAATCAGAAGAAGGGTTACGAGCTGGCACTAAACTGGGAAACAGGCATATCAAATGGATGAGAGAGAAAATGAAAGTGAAACTAGCTGCACAATTGTTCAGTAGGAGTGAATCTGATGCTTTCATTTTCTTGAAAGAAGATATGCAAATGGAAGAATTTGAGGATGTTGGAGCTACAGCCAAATTCACCAGAATATTCAATGATCTATTCGACATATTCAATTCAAGGTGTAGATATTCGTATGTTGAATTTAGACAAGCAATTTCTAAGGTCAACGCAGAACAAATATTCGAATTTTTGTCTTTTTGCGAAAAATACATTTCTCAGCTGAAACTCAAAGGAGAACCGGTTCTGAAAAGTGCTAGAAAAACAGGCTTATTGTCTGTATAAGAAGTCTTGGGTGCTATTATAAACAATACATTATCGAAACGCCATTACTGAAGTATATCCTTTGTTATAAATTTTCAAGACCATCTGGAAATATTTTTTAGTATTGTAAGAAGCAAGGGAGGTTCCAATAACAATCAAACAGCCAGACAATTTCAATATATTTATAAAAGACTACTGATTCACTCCGAACTGAAAGGTAGTGAACATGCAAATTCAGTAGCTATTGATGATACATCAATTCTGCACTGTTCTTCAAGTGTTTCAAAATCTGATTCAGGTGGAGATCTTTTAGAATCGGCGGAATATTTAGAAATGAATAATCACAATCTCGAGATGGATTTCTTGGGATCTGCAACATAGTATTTGACATCCTATTGTTCTGACATAGTTGCATATATAGCGGGTTTTGTTGTAAGAAGTTTGAAAAAATGTATCTCATGTCAATTCTGTTTGGATATGTTGGAAGATGGAGAGATTCATTCAAAGCTTCAAGAGAGAAAAAAATATGGAGCATTATTATTCGTCATAAATATATGCAGAACCGCTGAGAAAACACTAGGAATAATGATGACCCAAATAAATATTTTTGACAAAAAATATAAGAATAAGTTTTTTGGATTCATTTGAACAACATATTCTTGATACTGATCCATTACAACATCATCCAATGGAACTTGTCAAACTTATCCTAACCAATTATTTGAATGTAAGGCTCCATCATAAAGCGAATAAATTGAAAGATACGACGAAAGTTAGAGTAGAGTCAATGCTGACAAAAACAATTCTGTTCAAGAATCAATAAATCTTTTTTTCTTTTATGTTTTATGTTCTTCCATTTTATTTCTGTTTTAAAGAAGAAACACTTTGCTATATATTATTAAAACGTTTTTGCTTGGGTATAAGGGTATAGATATACATTTTGAATTTTTTTTTTATCAATTAATGGTGATTAATCAAAATAACCACCATTCCATATATCAATTCACTCTTCTGAAATGTGTCCTGAAGATAACAGAAACATTATTTGGGATACACTACACTGTTTTACCACTAACCAAACCGATTTTCAATACTCCTTGGCACTTGTTTCTCTAACTATGTTAGCATCTTCAGGAGAAGATTAAAACTATTTCTTCTGAAGATGCTAACATAGTTAGCGAAACACGTGTCGAGGCGTATTAAAAATAGGTTTGGTTATATAGTGGTATAACAGTGTTAGTGTATTATCTCACCAAAGGTTCCGGTTTCAGTCTTCGATATATTATTTGGAATACTTAGCTGTGGAAGATTTAATCGTTTGTATTCCATTTGTCATATGAAATACCTAAATTGTGAGTAAATTGCTTTTTTCTACGCCTATAACACAAAATTGCTCTTGTTTTACTGTTTTCGATAAATCAATGAGGTACTTTATTGTATGTCTTCAATTTTATTCCATTATCTGATAACACAATGACTCCATTTTGTGTTGTTATTTGACAATATATTGTCATCTCCCGTGAAATGTCGAATTTCAAGAAAATAAAGCTCTGTCAAATGTTCTATTACTTGAGAGAAAATCAGATGGCTACAAGCCGAAGAAATACAAAATTTCGCTATTATCTGTTACAGCCGTAGAAAAAGTATAGTGTATAACGCTGATTTCCCACTCTTATGATTTGCAGCATTCGCCTACGGCTCATGCAGCAAACTTCATTATCGTGTGAAATGACTATCATCCTGTGCTCGATAAGCAATGTACCTACTATTTACTGAATTGAGTGACCCTTTCTTATTGTATGTTTATAAGTTTGACAACAACGAACGTGTCACAATAAAAATGTTACATTTCGTGTCCCAATTCCTGATGTTTAAGTATGACAAAAATACGTATGTATCGTATCTATCAGAATGTTTGTATAGCAATTTGATGAATACAGATTACAGTAAAATTAATTCGATACTCATTGCCAGAAAAAGCATATTTTTAAATTTTCTTCTACAGTCAAGAATTTATTATATCAACTATCAAGCTTTTTTCGCCCTACGGCACTGGTGCTGGGAGAATCAGCTGTTGCTATCCTTGTTTAGCATGAAATGAACAATTTAGATGTTGGTTCCAAACAAACTGTATTGCCAGGGCTATGGATTACTCATCTAGTCTGTTGCATGATCGAAGGTATAAGCTATCAGATTGGAATTGTATCACACATATAGTGCATCTGATCATATTGAATGTACTTGCTCACATTGAAGAGTTTTTGTTGCAAATAGTTTCGTTATTTATATAACTATTAGTTGGTATAAGCTTATCTGAGCTCATTTTTATTCATGTGAAAAATGTTAGAACTTGGGTTTGATGAATAATGGAATGGATAAACAAGACACTTTCTTATCTAATTTAATATTATTTTCCATGTAAGGTAATACAGTATGTAAGTACTTGCTATCTTTGCAAGAAGATATTTTCAGCCAAAATATCTCTTCTGATTGAGCCAGCCTCATCATCACCTATTTCATCCAGTCTGAAAAATAAAATGTTGAGTAAACACACTTTGAAATATTTGTTTATAGTTACTGTAATTGTAGAACATCTGGTATTTCATTTATATTGTCTAAATCGCCATTTTCTATTCACTCTTCATCAACATCTCCACCAGATATGCATAAATTATGGAGGACACAACAAGCAAGTATTGTAGCTGGGACCAGATCTATCCTATTCATGTCCAGATATTTTAATCGTCTGAACCTTCCTTTCAATAAAGCGAAGCTTCGTTCAATGCATTGCCTGACTTTGCTTAATTTTGTGTTGAAGTTAGTTTGCATCTGCAGCAAATCTCCTCTATTGATGTAGGGACGAATACACCAACCATCTATCATTCCAAGGCAAGAATCCAGGCCAGTTCCTGAAAATCCCTCCTTCACCTCTTCTGCGTAGATACCTGTTGGCCATTCTATTATGGTAGGTGCCATGATGTTCAAAACAGAGATTACCCTTATGGAACATTCAAATAGGGTAGACTTTGCCATATCGAATCTCTCAAGAAATTAGACCTGTAACATAATTTAATGCAACAAAATATCAGTTACTGAAACTTTCAAGAACATGACATCATATTATTATAAGCAATAACGGAGCAAGCAAAAGCCATTGCTCCATGATCTGGAAAAGGAACAGTGAAATTTTTTGAAAAAATATCAATATGAGCGAAACTTACTGTTTATATGATAAAAATGTTTTTTAAAAATTTTTTTTATTAAGTTGAAGGATTGGGGGTCGGGAATATATTTGATAAGGGCCCACGGTACCCTTAAATCACCGATAAGTGGTAATTAAACTTGAAAATATCAATCTTTTATAATAAGAAAGATGTGGCTTCGGAAATAATCAAGAAAAGAATCACATGTGCGGAAGCACTGAACGGTAAAATTTTTTTTTTTGCTGTCAACTGTCAAGTCATCCAGATCATGGAACAACTAGTTGCATAGATAAACAGATTAGGTGATGGGGGGTGATAAGTATGTATTTAATTTGAAATAATACGAACTGCCACGGCGAACCATATATTCAAGACTGCTTTACATTCATGTATATGTCAAAGAGCTGTTGGGTACGGCGTACAAAAACCTCGCTAGCAAGATCGGCTATCGGTCCGTGATAAAAACACCATAACATAAAAACCTCTCATATAGACATATAGAACAGGGGGCAACACCATAGCACAGCACTACGTCAGATTGGCAACAAAACTGAAAACAAGATTGGTACAATAAGAATCTTACAATCCAAAAATCTAGAAAAAAGTGTACATGGCAAATGACAATTATTCAGCAAAATTCAATGAATTGATAAATTATATGTATTCCTCACGATCAAAATTGAAAGCAGACCTTTTATTGAATGCGAGAAGCGAAACTTCGACCACTGATACAGGTTTAGGTAAGTTACATTAATAATGATACAAAGTTTGTAGATATTTTGAAGTCAGTAGCGGCTCGTCCTAGCAAGCATTATCAGTATTCAAGTATACATTCTGTATTCAATTTCTATCCAAGTTCATAAAACTCTGTTTAGTTATGATTTTATATTATTCTTTTAGATTTCGAATCGGTGTCAGAAACAACAAGTATGATTTCGGGCCATGATTCTACAGGCAATGCAGAAGCTGCAACATTAGGTATGTAACTATATGTAATTACTTTTTTAATAATCAATAATATTCATTTATGCAACAAGTACAAAATGTAAGTGTTTATTGCACGTGATGTCAAATTGTTCACAAAATGTGAGTGCAACAAACACTTTTTGCACGAGTTGCATAACTTTTTTTTTCTACGTTCATGCAAAAAACATATTTTGGTGGCACGAAATGAAAAGCGTAATTTAATAGCGAAATCTTGATTATGTGGAAAGTTTTTTGTCTTCAACAAATCCTCTTATCCACTGTGTGGTGAATTTGATTGGAAATGTAACTTCAAGAACATTATACCAATTTTAAACTACTGTGTATTCGGGAAATTCTTAACATTCAAATTTACTCTCGTTTTGTTGCAAGAAAAACCAAATAATAAATTATTGTTTTGTAATTTTACAGATGACAATTTGATTGTCTCAACTTTTCCTCACAACACGAGCTTTGATGAAGAATGCACGACGCGTGAAATTATTATCCAAGATGTTCGGCTGCAAGAGCCAATAATCATCAATAAAAACATTATGGAAGGTAGTTTCCTATTGAATGAAAATTTTCGAACTATCACAACTGAATATAACGCAGCAGAAGGAACTAACAATAATTATTATTACTTCTCAACCCAAGTGGAGAACCCACAAGAAAATATTGGAGACAAAAATGACGTCGGCACAGACACGCAAGTAGAAAATGCAGTAACAACAACTATGCCTACTTCAGAAGAAGAGACTGACTACAGCATAATAAAAGAAAACATTACCAAAGACGATAGTGCACACAATAGCGATGACCCGATAACGAAACTCGAAGAAGCTACAATTGAAGCTGATTCAGCATTACACAAAACATACACTACACAAGATGATGAAAGAAAACACAGCGATTAAGACGCCGATCCCGACTATGTTGTAGAACTTGAAAGCGAAACGGAAAGCGAAATAGGAGAAGATGGTCCAACAAACAAGAAACAAAAAAAAAACCGCTGAACCAAGAACGTGTTAATAAAGAACCAGGAGAACGCGGTCACATAAGGATAACCGGGCGGAGAAAATCTAAAAAAAAAATGAAACTAGTATAATGCAAAACGAAAGACAAGAAAAAAGGAGTCTAGGACTTGAATATACTACAAAAAAAAGATGAAGTTATCGAAGAAAGGAAGTGTTTAGAGTTATCAGACTGTAGAATGAAATGTAAAACGAAATTAGAAGAAGAAAGAAGACAGAAGTTATTCAGAGAATATTGGGCTATGGGGAATTTCAATAAGCGTGTTGCTTATATTGCTGGATTATTAGAATCAAAGCCAAAAAAAACTATCAAAACTGTTTCTCCCGATAAGCATAAAAATCGGCAAATAGCCAAAACGTTTCATTTGCGTATAGATAGTGATTTGTTCACGGTTTGTAAGACTTGTTTCAAGAAGACATTTGGCGAGACAGACAGATTTTTAAACGATGTAATACAAAACAAAGCTGCATCAGCAGCTGGTATTGTACCAGGTGATTCAATAAGGATGACGAGATTCTGTATCTGAGAAGCTAAGAATTTTGTCAACAAGGTCTGTATCAAGAAGGGAATGTTTGACGAATGAAATAAAAAATCATACTGTCATTCTGGGGTTCTTACCGTCCTCGCTAAGGGGCGTGTTTTATAGACTTTTAGTTTCTGAGATACAGTACCTCGCCACCCTTATCGAATCACCTGGTACATGATGATCTTCGAGGCAAATCAGTACCTGTGAATAAGTTGCCAGAAAACAGCAGAGCACTTGTTCGAAACCATATTTTGTCACTGCCAGCCTATGAGAGTCATTACTGCCGCAAAAAAACGGCTAAAAAATACCTACCACATCACTACACTCTAACCAAAATATATGATGAATACAAGAAATGGATACCTGAAGGAGATGTACCTGTATCGCGTATTGTGTATCAAAGTATATTCCATGAGGTTGGCCTGAAAATAAAACCCTTGAATAAAGACACTTGTGGAGAGTGCGACAAGCTTAATATGCTTTTGGAAAATACTTCAAATTCCAGTAAAAAAGAAAGTATCAAACATGAGCTTGAAGAGCATCAACGAGAAGCAGAGGAGGCTTATGATGCTAAACGTAATGATAAATCTTCCTCACTGACATCCGAATCTTTCCATGTACTGACTTTTGACCTACAGCAATGTTTACCGACTCCGGCTATTGAAACATCTATAGCATTTTACAAACGACAACTGTGGACCTATAACCTGACACTTCACAGATGTCATGACAAGCAAGCTTTTTGCTTTATGTGGCATGAAGCCGTCGCTGCAAGGGGTGCAAATCAAATAGCATCCTGTCTCTACAAGTATTTACAAGAAATACCAGAGAATGTGAGAGAAATCACATTCTACTCAGATACATGCGCTGGACAAAACAAGAACTCGTTTCTTTGTGTTATGTTCATGCTCGCTTTAAAAAAGAATACAACCATACATACAATCAATCATAAATTCTTGATTCCAGGTCACACTCATATGGAGTGTGATGGGGATCACTCAATAATTGAAAAAAAAAAGGAAAAGCATCCACCTCCGATTGATTTTCCAAGTGACTGGGTAAATCTTGTTAGATTATGTGGTTCAAAGCATCCCTTTCAAGTAACTGAAATGAAAAGTGCAGACTTTTTTGAATTTTCGGCTTTATTCGAAGGTCCACTAATACAAAAAAAGTGCAAAGGCACAACATGGCCTAAAGGTTTCAAACTTCCACTGTCTTATAAGGGCCATAATCCCATATCAGTTGAGAAAAATAAATATTTGATAGAGCTTCTTCCATACGTGGACGAAAGTTTCCATGACTTGAAGTTGATAGCCAAAGAAGATTTACGAGATAAGGTAAGTGACCCTATATTAGACAGTGCCCCTAAATCAGACACATTCTTTCTACAGAAAACTATATTACCCACATCCTCCATATTTGATTCAACCTCAAAGTGTATGTGGTTTGACTCATCAAAACGATAATTCAGTAATGTTTGATTTCTTATAAGGTAAGTACAAAACGGCTCATCTCTGAAGAATTGATAAATTGCGAATTTTCCTTAGAATGTTGCAACGAACGTATATTCTGATTTCAAAGGACAAATATTATCCATTATTACATGTTTTTGTTGAGATGAATGACTATTTTTCAAAAATCTGATGGTGTCGAATTTCAGTACATCACATTGAGCCATTGTCCAAATTTCGTCATCCAAGTGTCGAATATATTGTAACATTCGCAAATCCTCAGAGCACAGAATGTACTGTTACGTTATTCGGGTGCAGAAGCGAACACGACACTATTTATTTTCGAACTTATTCATTTAAACTAAAGAAACACTAATTTATATCGAACTTATAACTACTATTTATGTAAAACGATTTATAACACGCGGTATATAACTGTCTCTCTGACACTCGCTGTTTGACTGACTGACAGCAGTTGTTCGGCGGTCTTATATATGAGAACACATGGCAGGCTTTGGTCGAGAACGTTCTCGAATGATTTTCCGTCTCCTTCTTTTTGTTCTAGAAGCTTCTTAGAACAAAACCTCTCTCTCTAATTGTTCCATCGATTGTTTCCAGAACATTCCAGAATCTTCTGTGACGTTATTTGTCACTGCGGCATATATTGAGTGTTTGGAAAAATGCTGGTGTATGTAGGAATCATTGAGAGGTTGGAGAGCAATCGAGGATGCGTGATACAGGATGATCGTTGTACTCCTGCCTTCCTGTTGATGTGTCTAGAGCCCCTCCAAGGGGAATATCATTACACTGCCCCCTCCTTAAAACGCATTCCTCCTGGAATGCATTCTGATCACTATGAAGATAGGAACAACTGGTTTCATTTCTACAGCGTGCAGTATGGTAGAAATAGCATGGCACTGTCTTCTCTCTTGGAGTTCCCTTGGAGTTCCAGCAGCATACCAGAATTTCAACTCCGGTGAATCTAAATAAAACCTCTAGCATGTTCCTTACAATTCTCCAATTCAAGCCATCCAGTCCACACCCCAGCTTCGGAACAGCTATCTTCTGTATGTCCTTCTCGAGTATGATGCTTCGCAAGTCGACTAGTGTCTCCCAGAGGTCCTTGTAAGTGGGGCGGGGCTCTTCCTTGGTGACGCCAAACCTTGCTTTTGATGAACCACTGTATGTCCCAATGAATTCGTCGAATGTAAGCTCCTTTTCTTCCGGACAAAGTTGTTGAACTTGTTGATCTTGTGTTCCCTCGAATGGTGCTAGTCTGTTGAAATGAACGACTCTTGGTTTGCCACTGGGTTCTTTACTGATGCGGTATATGACATCGTTGATCTTCTTCTTGACGGTATAAGGTCCTTCCTATTATGTGATGATATTATATCAATATTAGTAAATGGAGATATTTTATATATCATGACTTTTAATGACAATTCTTGAATTATTATTGTATTGACATTCATCTCATTAGAAACACATTATACATAATGTTCAATCGATATATAACATGTCCCTCAAAAAACAATAAAACTATACTGGAACATCATCTCATAACGAAGTCTTCAAACTTAGTATTTGGTTTCAATTGTCTGCCTCTTGAAGATCGTTTGAAATCAATTGTTTTATCGGTAACGCAGCTAGGCTTTCGTGGAGACGACTCGCTATTACTGCTCACACTGGAACGGGGCATTCTAAGCGACGGCATTCTAGGCGACCTAGAAGGGGAGATCCTGTATGACGTGGAAGGAGACATTGAAGGAGATATCCTAGATGATTCAATAGACTGTGATTGATTAGAAGACTTCCTAGAGGATCTCATGCTGGTGGAATCATTATTCTGGGATATCTTACTCGTCTTCTCTCTTGGTGGTTTCCCAGAGGTACCTGGAATATGTTCATCTTGCGCAGACTCCGAATTCTCTACAAGTTGCTGAGAAGTGGTACTTGAAAGTTGCTGAGAAGTGGTACTTGAATTCTTCCCATGCCTTGAATAGTCAGGAACAGGTATAGGTACAAGATGGTGATCAATAGTAGTAGTTGGCAATGATCCTATTAATTTCAAATGTTTCATGTTTCTTCTGTATATCCCTTCTTCTTGAGTTTCAACGATGTAACTGTTAGGAGAATCATGATTCTTGATAACTTTTCCTGGAATCCATTTCCGATGACCTTGTTGAATTATTACAGACTGATTTTTGCTTAGAGGTATACGTGATTTTTTATCAACATTATATCTTCTTTCTTCATCACAATATTTCTTTTGTAGAATTTCCAATGTTTTATTGGTATCGAAGAGAGGTTTCAAATTATTTTTGTGTTGCGGTAAACCACTTTTAAATCTTCTACCATTTAACATTTCCGCAGGTGAAGGAAGATCTTGTTTTGGGGTGCTATTATACTCCATTACGACGAAATAGGGATTCTTGCCAGATTTTATAATTTGATTCTTTATAGTCTGAATATGGCGTTCTATCAACCCATTCGATTGAGGGTAATTTGGACTCGATGTAGTATGTCGAATATCCATTTCTTTCATAAAATTTTTGAATTTGAAAGAATCAAATGGAGGTCCGTTATCCGACATGATATAAGAAACTTTACCATGAGATTTAAAGATCGAGAGAAGAGCATCTATCACTGTACAAGCATCTTTCTTTTTCAATGATACAATTTCAATAAATTTGGAATGATAGTCACAAATGACAAGGAAGTGAGTATTCTGAATCTGCATGAAATCAATACCAATCTTTTCCCATGGTAATATATGCTCATTTATACCTGGCCAAAATATTGTTTCTTGAGCTTTTCTTTGACAAGCCACAATACCTTGATGAGTTTGGTGGATTTTATTCAACATTTCCACACGCATATTCTTGGGAATGATGAGTTGATTTCCTTTGAACATATAATCATCTATTTCGTGGATTTCATCTCTATATTGATAGTAGTGCTTTACTATACCTTTTACTGAAGATAATTGATTGGGCCAACCATTTTTTACATAAAATTTCAAAAGCTTTATTTCTTCATCTTGCTTTACGTTATTTTTGAGAATATTTTCTTTCTCTTCGCTAATAAGTATCACTGAGTGAATGGAAATCTCATTTAAATATTCAGTTTCCGTTACAGTTTTCAGTGGTTTTCTAGACAGTAAATCAGGAATATAATGTTCTTTTCCAGGAATAAATTCTAACGTTATATCATATTTTAGCAATCTAATGACAAGTCGTTGCAATCTTGGTGATAATGAGTCAATTGGTTTATTCAATAATCCCAATAAAGGTTTATGATCAGTTTTTACAACAAATGGACGACCATACAAATAATAGTGAAAATTTTCACAACCCAATACAACTGCCAATAGCTCTTTTTCAATCTGAGCGTAATTTTGTTGGGCATGTGTTAGGGATGAAGACCAAAATGCTATAGGATGGTCTTGTTGAGAAATATATCCACCAATACCTAATTGACTGGCATCAGTACTCAAAATCACTGGCAAATCATTATTAAAATATGCTAGGACAGGAGCATTAGCTATTAAATTTTTCAAGCGTTGAAACGATATTTCCTCTGGTCCGTTTTCAGTCCAAGTCCAAGCTGAATCTTTTTTAAGCAGATTTCGCAGTGCACTTGTTTCTTGAGCCACATTTTTTATAAACTTACTCAAGAAATTTATGGTTCCTAAAAAAGTTTGCAATTCTTTAATATTTTCTGGTCTATCCATACTTTTGATTGCTTCTACTTTTTTATTTTCAATCTCTATACCACTTTCTGATACTTCATAGCCTAGAAAAGTTATTTTCTTTTTGGCTAACTGTAGTTTTTCTTTATTGAAACGTAAATTGAATTTCCTGGCTCCATCTAACAATTTACATAATCGGACGTTGTGCTCTTCTATTGTACTACCAAATATCAAAATATCATCTATATAAGCAATAGTACCATCAAGACCAAATATAAGTTCATTGATATAATACTGAAATATTTCAGAAGCACATGAAATTCCATATGGTAGCCTTTTGAAACAGTACCTTCCGAAAGGGGTAGAAAAAGTACATAATAGCGAACTAGGTTCATCTAATGGTATCTGATGAAAAGCACTCGAAGCATCTAAAACAGTGAACCACTTAGCATTTTTAATCAAAGAAAAAACTGACTCTATAGTAGGCAATTCCAATCTTTGACGGATAATATATTTATTAAGTGGTCTAGGATCCATACACATTCTGATAGATCCATTTTTCTTTATATTTATAACTATTGGATGAAGCCATTCAGTTGCTTTTTCCATCTTTACTATAACATCTTGGGTTTCTAATTTTTCTAGAGTTTCTTTAACTTGTTTATGTAATGCTAAGGGGATTTTTCTACATCTACTAATTTGGGGAACATAGTTTTCTTGTAAACGTATTGTACATTTATTTTTAAAACATCCCAAACCTGTGAAAACGTCTTTGTAATTTTCCATTATAGAAGATAATTTCATTTCAACATTCTGTAAGTTATTATCTTCCTGTAAATTATCGATTCTTTTTATAAGATTCAATTCAAGGGATGCTTGCAATCCTAATATAGGTTCATAGTTATCTATTAGTATATAAAATTTCAAAATTCTACTAATGTTTTTGTATTCACATGCCAGCATACAGGTACCTATAATTTCAATTTTATTTTTATTATAAGCCACCAAAGATTTTCTAGACTTTTGTAGTTTTGGAGGATCCATGATTTTCTTATAAAATTTCAATGGAATAATATTTACTTCACTGCCAGTGTCTAATTTGAATTTAATTTTGACACCACTTACTGACATTTCTTTCATCCATACTTTCGACGTAGCTCCTATATCCATTCCTACTTCATTTACCTCTTTTATT